CCAAGGCATGGACGATGTCCTCAGCGATAACACATACTCAAACATGTTCACGTCGCGTCCGGACAATTACTACTGACCCCACTGATCAGCTGAAACGATCAACTTCTTCAAGTTTCGACATACAAACAGCCATCATTTAACAACCTACAACACAATATGCACACATAATTGAACCTGTTTGGAGTTGTTTCGTTACTAAGAGTCTTGTATAAGTCATGGTGGATCTGGTAGATCTTTTGATCTGAACTCCATGGTAGATTTAAGATCCTTGAGCATCTTAAATTGAAGTATTAATAGATTATAAGTGATGCGCAACAACTCTATGAACATGTTTGGGTAAAGGGTGATACGGTCAAAATTTGGTCAATATCAACTTTGCAATTTTGCATTTAAAAAACCTGAACACCCCTCATTTTGAAGGTGTGTGTGTGTAGAATGTTGCTCCTATTTTGATTTTGGAATTCACTCTTCAGTTGTCAAAATGCCGTCCAAGCAAGAAGAGCAGCGTATCAAAATTTTGCTCGCGCATCGCGAAAATCCGAGCTACTCGCGAGGAAAGTTGGCAAAATCGCTAAAAGTTGCCAAATCAACCGTTACAAATGTAATTAAAGTGTTTGGGGAACGTTTGTCGACAGCCAGGAAGTCTGAATCGGGGGGAAATCGAAAACCGGAAGCCGCTGAGACGACAAAGAGAGTTGCCGGTAGTTTCAAGCGAAATCCTAACCTCTCTCTCCGAGATGCCGCAAATAAGCTGGGTGTATCGTCTACAACCGTGCATCGAGCCAAAAAACGAGCCGGACTATCGACTTACAAGAAGGTAGTGACTCCAAATCGCGATGATAAACAAAATACGACGGCCAAAGCGCGATCCCGGAGGCTGTACACGACGATGCTGACGAAGTTTGACTGCGTGGTAATGGACGACGAAACCTACGTCAAAGCCGACTACAAGCAGCTTCCGGGACAGGAGTTTTATACGGCAAAAGGAAGGGGAAAGGTAGCAGATGTTTTCAAGCACATGAAACTGTCAAAGTTCGCAAAGAAATATCTGGTTTGGCAAGCCATCTGTACCTGTGGCTTGAAAAGCAGCATTTTCATAGCTTCCGGGACTGTCAACCAAGAAATTTACGTGAAAGAGTGTTTGAATAAACGTCTGCTGCCTTTCCTGAAGAAACACGGTTGTTCCGTACTGTTTTGGCCGGATTTGGCATCTTGCCATTACGGTAAAAAGGCCATGGAGTGGTACGCCGCCAACAACGTGCAGGTGGTTCCCAAGGACAAGAACCCTCCCAACACGCCAGAGCTCCGCCCAATTGAGAAATACTGGGCTATTGTCAAGCGGAACCTAAAGAAGACCAAAAAAACTGCTAAGGGCGAGCAGCAGTTCAAGGCAAACTGGCTTTCTGCGGCGAAGAAGGTGGACAAGGTGGCTGTACAAAATCTGATGGCTGGGGTCAAGCGTAAGGCCCGGCAATTTGGATTTGGAAAAGCGGAAGCCTAACTGAATATTTTTCCTGAATTTTATACTAATTGAACTTGAAAAAGAAATTTAATTTGATTTTTTAAATAAACGATTTCACCGATTTACACGCGTTTTCCCTTGACCAAATTTTGACCGTATCACCCTTTAGGAGTTTTTCCAGGAGATCAAATGGGGTTACTACTGGACAATTTGGAGAATCTGGAACATCGTATACACATGGAATTGGAATTTAAATGATGTGCATAATCTCTATGAACCTGTTTGGAGTTAATTTGTAACTAAGGGCACTGTATTAGTCACCGTTGATCTGGTAGATCATTTGATCTGAACTCCAGGGATAATTTGAAGAATCTTGAGCATATTATAAACATATAAATAGATTATAAGTGATGCGCGAACACTTTGGGCAGGAAATGTTTGGACAGGTGTCGTCAGTGAGGGAATCGTGCAGACCATGGTTGATCCAGTTGATCAAATAATTTGAACTCCAGTACAATTTGGAGAACCGAGAACATCGTATACACAAGGAAATGAAACGCAAATGAACCTGTTGGGAGTTGGTCTGAACTCCAGGGAAATATGAAGATTTTTGAGCATCTTAAATACCTCAAAATAGATTATGAGTGATGCGCAAAAACTCTATGAACATGTTTGGGTATGTGTTTTCACTGGAGACATCGCGCAGGCCTTGTTTGATCCAGGAGATCAATTGGGCTGGACTTCTGGACAATGGAAATGAAACGTAAACGATGTACATAATCTCTATGAACCTGTTTGGAGTTGTTTCGTAACTGAGGGCGTTGTATCAGTCATTCTGGTAGACCATTTGATCTAAACTCCAGGATAATTTGGAAAACCTTCAACATCTTATATACATCAACATATATCATAATCGATGTGCAAAAACTCAATGAACATGTTTGGGTATGTGTCGTCACTGACGACGTGGCGCAGACCTTGGTTGATCCAGTAGACCAAACAGTCTGAAGTCCTGGACAGTTTGTAGTACTTAAAACATGTTGCAACCAAGCAAATTCATCTAGAAATTTGGGTCAAATTGGGTTTAATTAACATGCCAGTGCATGATCCGTTACCAAAGGTATCGTCGCTGTCCACATTAAATTGTGTGTGGTCGTTAACATAATAACTTCATAAGGTTTTGGAGATCTAGGCCTTTGAGTTTGGCTATAAGCTGGTGCTTTCATATTTTTCCACTCACGACTACAACTTTGCTGAAGAAAGTGTGTCTACTACTTTTGATTTTATGCAAAAAATCATAGAACGTGGTCATGACCACGCGAGCTCGAAAGGGTTCAAATGTCTCAAAAATTGTGTTCTGTGTATAAATTCCATGAAAAACGTATTGAAAAAATGGTCAAAAAATTTAACAAAAATTCTTGTTCTACAATTTTTGTCAATTTTCGAGTGTCCATAATTTTAAGCATATAAAAAATCTGGAGTTCTGAGATACTTAGTAAAATTCCAGAAAAATTCCGAGAGGTTCATGAAAATGTTCGAATGTTCCCTTACATGAGCACCAGAAAATTGTGAGAACATTTTCAGAGATCTTTAATGCTGGTTTACCATTAATTTTAAGAATTGTGAGAGCACTTAAGAAATTCTCAAATTTTCCAGAATGTCGAGAGACCTTCGAAGAAGATTAGAGATTTTCCGGTAGTTTAATTATAATCAGAGAAGCTTCGAGTACTTCGAGGATGATCAAAAGGACTTCAAAATAGCCTGATTAAACTCCAGAAAATTGCAAGAACTTTCAAGGAGCTCCGAGGAATTATGGGATATTCTTCGAATACATTTCGGTGTATTTCAGGAATGTTCCGAACACTTTAAGGACGTTGCGAGTTTCTGGAATGTTTTATGTATATCAGAAAAATTTCTGGATCATTTGAACATTAAAGGAAATATTGTGCTAAGATCCTCCAGAATTTCCCAACTTCTCCTTCAAGTTTCTTTTGACTGCTCCGTAAGCCCTCTGGCTTCCGGCTTTCGCCAGAAGTTTCTTCCAATCTACCTTAGGAAATTTCTTCCAGTGTCTTCAGGAAGTTTCTTTCGTCTTCTCCAGAAAGTTCCATTAATCTTCTACCGGATGTATCTTTCGAGTTCTCCCAGAATTTGCTTGTGTCTTCCTCTGGAATTTTCTCCATAAATGATTCTCCGTAGGCTGTTTTCCGACAGCTATTGGAAGATTTTTCCGAGCTTCTTCTGGCTTCGCCTGGAAATGGCTACTCCTGGAGTTTGCTTCTGATTTCCGAAATTTTTCTGGCTTCCTCTGGGTGTGTCATCGGATTTTCCCCTGAAGTTGCGCCAGAAATTAATCAATATTTTTCTTAGAAGTTCTCCGGATGTTTTTCCGACTTACAACTTTGTTCAAACTTCATCCAGAAGAGCTTTTTTTATTCACTCTCTGGAAGTTTTTTAGTTTTTTCAATTGCTGAAGGATCTTTTACCTAAACTCAACAATGGATGCCTGAAAAGCTCAGATATATTGACAGACCAACGTATAAAATTAAATCAGAAGTTCAGAGCTAAAAATTCCCCCCTCAAAATGTTGAGAAACGAAAATTAAACGGTGTAGTGATCACCTCAATTTTCAGCTTCACTCCGCTTTACGATACTAAGTTATTTAAAATTATGGAACAATTTGATGCAATTTTGGAGTATTTCATTTTACCATATAAAACCGGGATAATTATGGGCTGTAACCGGAAATTTAATTTCTTAAATCCAGTGGCCACCCTGATCTATCAATTCCATAATCCTGGGTCCTATTGCACTCTGAAATTCTCACTGGATGCTACCGACTGAGGAACTTAATAGTCGGGAGTATATCGGCTTCGCAGTCCTCAAGTAATTAAGTGATTAAATGTTGCCCTTCATCCGACGTTTCGGTGTTTATTACATATTCTTCAGATCTTTTCATGATCGAATTCTTGATGTCTAAAGCAAACCCCACACGCATCAATATATTGACGCCAAGAGGAATTATTGACAATAATATTGATGATGTGAATTCAGAAATATTGTCAATCTCGATATATTGACGTCAATATAGTATGTATTGACAATACGATTATTGTCAATAAAAGCAATCGTGTAGGGTCCACTTAAAAGCGTTCAACAATCCAAGGATTGCCGCTGTAGCCTACTAATGTTGTTCCAAAATCGTCTATTCTTAGATGCAAATTTGTTTTCAATGACACCCTTCGCGCTTGTTTCCGGCACCCAACCCCCGTAGAATTCGGATGAGTCCACCTGTAAATCATACAACCCATCTCATTTCCTGCCAAGCGACTCTGCCGTTACAAACTCATCGCGAAGCGAATGATTTCCATTATCTCACGTTCTCAGCCACTTCTGTTTTCAACAACAACAGCACCTTCGATGCAACTCTGTCATCATCACCTTCAGCTTCTCGACATACATATATACACTCACACCTGTCTATTCTAAATGATTGTAAAACTGTACGACAGCGACACCGAAAGCAATCGATTCTCACCTTTCAGGGTCTGCAACTCTGCTTGATCTGCTAGTCACCAATGTAAATAATCCTGTGCTGAGGAGACTCTCATAAACTCCCCGTTTCCGTTAAAACAGGATTCAGTTACACGTAAACCACAAATCTTCTTCTTCTTCTTCTTTCTCTTCAGTTAAAAACATCAAGCACAATGCCTTTCGTTGTGACTTTCCTTGCTCGTGACACACTCGTATGCAAACACAATATCCACCAAAATGCCACTCGTTTGTCTGCTGCTGTTTCCAGCACCAACACTAACAATTCTAGGGATTAATAACAACAACAGCAATGTCGTTGTGTTGTTGAAATTGAAATTCAATCACTGACTTTATGGGTAGGAAATTAATAGTGCACACGTTTTGGTCTTTTTTTTATGAAACCGTCGTCGTTGTGTATTGAATGTCCCACACCTACCACTCAGCTGCTGTCATAACTTTTGGTTTAATGTTTCATTCATGCAGTTGCTCGGAAAAATTAACTGTACACCTAGCAGCAGTCTATCCGATTGTCTTCGGCCAGAGAGAGAGATAGAGGCTAAGGTACCTACTGCTGTTGCTGCTGCTTCGAATACCGGGGAGTCCCGCTACAGTCGAAGCATTTGCTGCGATCTAGTTTTCATGCGATGGTAGTTTATCTTCAGCCGTCGTACGCTTCTTTCCGTATTATTTACCGTATCGAGGCACCGGCATTCCCTAAATGCGGTCAGTTTCACTTGCTGTGGCTAACAAATAGTTTCAATCGAAACTGCTCCTACAACAGTGGGTAATTCCAAACCTCCAGCGTTGGTGGAATTCTCAGAACGACAATTATCCCGACGATCACTGCTACTGCTGGATATTTATTCCAATATAATTAATATTCAAAACGATATGCACGATCCATCCGGTGTAATAAACTATCCACGCGAAGCAATCTCAACGCTGTACACACTGCTCTGCAACACAACACACAGCCACGAAGGTCATGAACACGCACTTGCTACACACCTGAACGGCATCGACGTCGTCGTCGTCGTCGTCACATCAACCACTTTTGTTTTCTTCAAGAGTTGCACAAAATAACCTCCAACAGTCGTTATTTTTTCCCAAGGCGGCACTGCTTCACCTCAGTAAATCCGTTTCGTTCGTTTCGTAGTATTTTTTACAAGAAAGATGCAAATGAGTTCCACCCCCACCGGACTCAACGCATGGTGGTGGGAGGCTTTTCGGTAACGATGACAACGCAACGGCACGCGCGCGACGCAAACAATACAACAAAGCTCGACAATAACAACACACGTGCACTGCAACCGTTTGGCTCGATACCGGTATAATCGCGTCGACGTCAGCACTGGTTCAAATCTCGCAACGTACTGAAACAGAACCTGACTGACCGGACCGAATCTCCGATTTCGAGAACTACTCCAACACGTAGGTCACACGAGATGATGCTGTCTTTACTACTGCGATTAACAAGCTACCTTCTCGCCGGCTGACTGACTACTGAATGCTGACTGCTTTGGGTTTGTCTCGAATAGTGGGAAAAGCCCTCCAATCGAGACTGCTTCATATCTACCTAGCCTCCTATACACAGAATACAGCAGCGCCTGGCAGCAAAGCAAGCAACAGACCCTCGTGTGCTGTGTGGCTGTGGGGTTTTGCTTGGGATGGGAGTTTTGTTTTGATCTCTGCGTTCGCTCTCTTCGATGGCTTCGATGATGGGAGAGTGGTCGAAGTTGGTGGAAAACAGAGAGCTGTGATTGGGCGTGAGATTGCGAGAGACGGAGAGAGAGGTGTTCAAAAATGGTTGTGGGCCGACTGCTGTTTGGTGGCAGTAGCATTGATGAAAGTAAATATTGTCCTTTCGTCAGGTAGATAATAAACTGTTTACAAGCAAATGCAATGCTGGAACGGCGTATAGTTGTTGACATTGAAGAATTGATTTGCCTCAGGGGTTTGAAGGCAATGATTAGGGATTTCCGTGTTTTGTTGTTTTTCCACGTCGTAAACATTTGCATGATTTACAAGAATTTTTCTTGAGAATAAACATTTTCGAGTTCCTACAGAAAACCGTGGGCAGATTCGACCAACTGTTTATCTTATTTGCATATTATTTGTTTTGTATCACGCTTATGCATTTTGCTAAACAAAGGTAGGTATCCAAACTATAAAGCATGGTCTTTTTTATTTATTTTTTAACAATTTCGTCACTTTTCATAGAGATCCTTATTGACGATTTATATGTATTTATACGTTAGGCCTTGTTCAGACAACACACTTTTGACATGAGCATGAGCAGGGAATCAAGAAAATCCTATCTTCCTGTGCTTATCCTTTATTTCCATTTCGTCAAGCCAGTGTAGACTACATACAATGATTATTACAATGTTTACTTACATATTATGCATTAATTCTATTCTGTTTTAGCTTAGTTTTTATTTGCTGCTTGGACAAAGTGTCAATAGTTCCGCAATGCAAATTATATAGGCGCATCATTCGATTGATTGGGATATTTTTCTGAAAATAAATTCCGTGTTCTAAGATATCGACAAGGTGTGTAAAAGTTTAATTGTGCGAGAATTTCTGCCGAATCTATGCGCATTGAAATAATGTCGTTGATGAAGAAAAGCATTGCAAATTGGCGGCGCTCCTTAAGTGTTTGTATATTGATGAGCATGCAGCGCGCTTCATAAGATGGTAATGGAAATGCAGTCCAATTCAATTTACGTAAAGCATATAAAAGGAATTGTTTTTGGACAGATTCTATGCGTTCTTCGTGAATGGAAATGTATGGATTCCATACTAGGTGGCAGTATTCCAGAATTGGCCTTACATATGTGGTATATAATAGCTTAATAGTGTATGGGTCTTCGAAATTATGACTGAACCTTTTGATGAAGCCTAGCATCCTGTTTGCTTTACTAATGATAGTATTATAATGTTCTATAAAAGTTAGTTTGGAGTCTAGGATTACACCTAGATCTCTTACAATTTTGCTTTTTTCTACTATTTGGTTGCCTAATGATATTTCAATATGCGGTGTTTCAATTTTTCTGCTAAATGCTATTGAAGTACATTTTTTTACGTTCAGTTGAAGTAGACTTTTACTACACCAGGTGTGGAATATATTGATTTCATTCTGGAATTCTTCTGCATCGCTAGAATTACTTATTTCCATAAAGAGCTTCATGTCGTCTGCATATACAAGCAATTTTATTTTTTTAAGTATGTGGGAAATGTCGTTTATGTACAAAATAAAAAGAAGTGGGCCTAAATGAGAACCCTGGGGTACCCCAGAGGTGACTGAAATTGGTTCTGAAAGTTTATTTTGAAAGCGAACTATTTGTTTACGATGTGTTAGGTATGATTGAAGCCAATTCAAAAGTCCAGGCTCCATTCCTATTTTCTGCAATTTGAGGATTAATAATGGTATGTCGATGCGGTCAAATGCTTTACTGAAGTCGGTGTATAGCGCTTCAAGGTGCTTGCCACTGTCCAACGCTTTAATAATGAAAGATACATATTCTAGAAGATTAGAGGTAGTTGAGCGACCTTTAAAAATGCCGTGCTGTTTACTTGTAATTAGATTTTTCACCTGCTGAAAAATATTGCCGTTTACGATTGATTCAAAAAGTTTTCGATTGCAAGAAATGATAGCAATTCCACAATGATTTCGAATGTCTGATTTTGCACCTGATTTGAAAATAGGTACCAAATAAGACGATTTCCAAATTTCAGGGAATTTTCCATTTTTCAGAGACATGTTGAAAAGACGCTCTAGAGGAAATGCGAGTTCTTCAGAAAGGTTTTTCAAAAATATGGGTGCGATGCCGTCAGGTCCAGACCCTTTCGACGCGTTTAAGTTTTTTAGTGCGTTGAGGAAGTTGGTTGACAGAGATGTTTTTAGAAATTTCAGGAATGAATGCATAGAAATCGCGGTCACGATCTTCTTCGGAAAATGTTGTGTATACTTCATGGAAGAAATTTGCAAAGAGATTGCAAATTTCAGAAGAATTCTCACCTACATTTGCATCCAAATTCATTCGCGAAGGAAAATTGCTGCTTTTTAATTTCGTGTTTACATAATTAAAAAGTTATTAGGACATGATTTTACTTCATTTTCGACTTTGCGGTTATAGTCCTCATATGCAGAGTTGATGGCTGTATTTAATTGGTTGCATAAGTTGTGATAGTTTCGCAAATTGGTTTTAGTTTTTTTCTTTTTTTTATAGTTTATGAGCTTTCTGTTTTTTATTCTTCAAATTTTTCAGTTGTGGATTGAACCATGCGGGTAGTTTATTGTTTTGTGTTCGTCTTCTTTTTTTTGATGGTACAGTTTCCAAAATTAGGCTTTGAAGAATTGAGTGAAATTTTTCTACTTCAGTATCGACATTTCCTTCAATACTTATTAAATTTTGCCAATTTATTGTACATAGTCTACGTTTGGCTTCTTCGTAATTTACTTTATGGTATTCCGGCACTTCCTCGTATTCCCAGTCGCTGGAGGAAGAAGAATTTTGTACGAAGATTGAGTATTCAATTGCTGTGTGAAACACTTCATTTTTCCATAAAGGTGCTAATGATGTATCCACACAGAAGTCTTCAGTACAATTTGTAAAAAAAAGGTCTAAATATGAGTTTTGTTGATTTTTTACATGGTTTATTTGATTAGGACCAAAATAAGATATTTTGTCGAATAATAATTGTAATGTTTCGTCTTCACCTACGACCGGGAGTAAAAATGATACATTTTCAATGTCTGTAATAAAGTCTGCGTTTCGTTGATTGAAGTCGCCATAAATATGCAGTTTTACTTCTGGTTCCATATTTGACATTATAGTTTCAACAATTTGAAAAAAATAGTTCAAAATACTGCTTGTGGGCATGTTTAGGTGGAAAATACACAGAAGAAAAAATGTGTATTCCACCGGCAATAAGTGCTTTGACCCAGACATTTTCGAATTCCGTGTGCTTATTTGTTATGATTTCTTCAGAAGTAAAGTCAGCATTGATCGATGATATAAACACTAGTAAACGGAATCATGATCAGTGTACATCTGAGATCATGGGTTATCATTTGTGTTACACACCATGATCAGCAACAAAAACGACAATCCACTGATATGATTACAATCACTGTGCATGGAACTTACTGCCTTCGTTCTGGTTGTTCTGGAGGCCAAATACCCTACAATATGGATAGTTTTACTCAATACTCAACAATATGGGTATTTTTCGAACTGGGATGAACATGTACAATGTTGGAAATTGATGTCCGCTGCCATTTTGAAAACCAAGATGACGGCCATTGATTTCATGAAAACTGTCAAATACCCTACAATATGAGAATTTTTGGAACTGGAATAACGTGCAGATGTCAAAAATCGATGTCTGCCACCATTTTGGCAGCCATTGATTAAAAAAAGCTATCAAAGACCCTAAAATACGGGTATTTTTGGAACCGGGACTACATGTAAATGTCGAAAATCGTTGTATACCGCCATTTTGGAATCGAAGATGGCGGCCAATCGCTTAAGATAAAACTGTCAATAAACTAGTCAACTTGGTGGCCGACATCGATTTTCGACATCTACACGTCATTCCGGTTCCAAAAATACCCTATTTTGGGTACAGTTTGTTTCTTAAACCAATGGCAATCATCTTGGATTCTACATCTGCATGACATCCCTGTTCTGAAAATACCCTATAGCCGGGTACTCGACAGTTTTTCTGCAATCGATGGCGGCCATCTTCGATTGAAAAAATGGCGGCCGACATCGATTATCAATCTCTTTACGTCATCCCCGTTCCGAAAATACCCATATTATAGTTTTTTTTAAATTATTTTTCTTGTCTTATATGGGGAATTTTCGGTGACGATAGTTGATGATTATGATCGGAGATTATCGCTTTTTCATACGATCATTATCTGTAACACAAATGATAATCGCACTATCGTTTCCAGAATTGACCGGTGTGATTTTTCGGATTGTATACTGATCATGAGTGTACCAAAAACTGAGAATGACATTATCTTGATTTCGATTCCCTGTACCGCTGTTCCAAATATACCCTTATTGCATTGTATTTGACATTTTTTCTTAAAACGATGGCCACCATTTTGGATTTCAAAATGGCGGCGGTCATAGATTTTCGATCTCTATACGTCATCTCCGTTCCGAAAATATCCATATATAAGGGTATTTGATATGTATTGTATTGGGAATTTTCAGTAACGACAGCTGACGATGATGCTCGAAGATTATCGCTATTTCATATGATCGTGATCTGTAACACAAACGATAATCGCATTATCGTTTCCAGAACTGTCCGTTGTGAGTTTTGCGTTTGTACTGATCCTGAGTGTAACCAAAATGAGAATGAAATTATCTTTATCTATATTGAAGATTTTGATTCCCTGAGCATGAGCATTGACGACCACATATTTCGTAGTTGCTACTCCGTGATTGACGCAGCGAAATTTGCACAAAGAACCATATGAATGGGGTTTGGGATTGGCAATCCATTCTTTGCAAAATCCGATCCGAAGGTCAATTGGGAGATTTCATT